CTGAAAGGGCGAGCATGTTTGGTGTGATGGGGATTCGAACCCGCGACCCTCAGCTTGCGAGTCGAGCACCTTAACCGCCTGGCCATGCCGGGCCCCGACAGCAGTAATGTCGATAGTTAGCAATAAAACATTTTTCACGAGCTTTTAATACCCAATGACGTGTTACTTCAGGAAGTCTCTATATTACAGAAATTGGGCAGAATTTACTTTGAATATAGTCGATATGGTTAATATCATATGGTTAATATCTCAAGTATGTGCGTGTGTGTGTGCATCACAAGAAACTTTGCATTCGTTTTTTTCTAACTTGAGCTTTGGGGTTTGTAAATAATTTTATGAAGATGGTTGGTTGTCATGAAAAACATAATCCTGATAATGGAATTTTGTTTTAAAACATAGATTTTATTCTATAAAGACAGTTTTTATTATATTGAAACGTACACTTTAAAACGTCAAATTATCATAGAACGTTCTTTTTTGTCTTTCTCGTACTTTGTTTTAATCTTTAATGTAGTAACAAAACCAACACAATAATTGGATGACTAATACTGGGATCAATGTTTGTTTGATTAGCTCAACTTCGTTTAACGTATTTTTTAAAACAATTAACTATTGTATATAAATGAATCGGTGTGTCCACTTGTAGGATTATAAATATTTTGTTGTTGGTGTTTTCTTGTCATTTTAAGCACGATTTTAATTGAACTTTGACTTCTCGTTTCTCAATGGGATACCTGCAATTCAGGTTATAGGTCAATCAAATTATGTGTCAGCGTAACGGAAATATTCAGTAGTTGGAATTTAACTACTTATAACTGATTAGGGAAAGGGGGTATTATTTCAAGATTATTAAATTCCATTTGAGCTGCCATGTATTCACGAGTTATGAGAACATTCGCATGGTATAATGTGTCTTGAATCAAATGACATGCTTGAATTAGCACAGTGCCTTAGACAGGGGAACTATTCTGTAGTATCACGTGTTAACGGAAACGTTGACCGTTCTTGGTGGCTTAGGGCATGAGGGCAACTTCATCTTAAACAATCACAAGTCTTTATTAAGATATACTTAATAAATATACTTAAGATATACTGAACAGTTTACTTAGGCCTCAATTGTAATAACTTTTAAATTGTTCTTTTAGTATTTTTTTGATTAGAAAGATACTACCCAACTGATTGGATCATTTTAATCACTCAAGCCGATTTAGTTTCAAAACGCATTTTGGTTTCATGTTTATTATCATTATTCAGTCAGCTAAACAAGCAAAGATTCCTTACGTCAGTATTAATAATTCTCTGTTTCAACAGGAAGAGAACGTGACTAATCTATGCTGTGTATTCTGGGATTTTTCATCAAGGTAAAAGGCTTTTATGCTTTAACAAATTTAATCAAATCAAGGGTTAGTGATTTCACGTAATTAATTTGGAATTTCAATCACTGGCTCTTTTTTGTCATAAATGTAGTGTTCATTATGAGAAAATGCATAGTCTATTTGTCAGTAAGGACAACTAATAACTTTCTTCTACTACGAGCAATTTCATGAGTGAGTCAGAAACAAAATTTCTAAAATGATATTAGTATTAAGTTGCAAAATTTTTCTTATGGGATCTTTATTAAAATTTTGTATTTGATTAAATGTTAGATTTATATACGTAAACAGAATTAAACTTTAAGAATATACAACATATACCGTATCCTACGTAATTAACAAAAATAAGCTAAAGTTTAATTATTAGGCTAAAAAAGAAGACAACCAAGAAGTCTCTTTTTGTTTCATGTCATGTCTTTAAATGGATTTTATTGGGAAAGAAATTATTCTTAAAAACAATATAATAAACGAAAGATTTAACTGTATCAAAAAAGGTTCTACGTTAAAGCCTTTAGTTGTGTAGGACTCAATTTTCATTAAAATGCCCAAAGGTTTTTTCCTTTAAGATTATTAGTAATTTGGTGTCAAAACTTCAGCTTAGTTTCGGTTACAATTTTTGGCTGAGATTATAAAAAAAATTCAGATCAGTTGCTTCTTTTTAATTTCTACTTAATATATTTTTTCTCGTTTGTTTGTTTGTTTTTAATTATGGACAAAGCTACACAAGGGCTATCTGTGCTCTGCCCACCACGGGTATCGAAACCCGGTTTCTAGCGTTGTAAGTCCGCAGACATAACCGCTGTGTCACTGGGGGCATTTTGTCGTATAAAATAAGGTTTTTCTTCTTTTAACTGTATTTCTACAACGAAACTATTTTTTGACGTTTATATTGCTTTATTTATTGTACATATGTTGTTAGGTAACAGTTTATCCATATTGGGTCAAGTTTTTGCCTTATAAGAGATAGAAAAATCAAATCGTTGAGGCCTAACCATGAAGGACCGGCCGTAGCCTATTGGTTGTCGTGTTAGGCTGCGGGCTGAAGGTTCAGGGCTCGAGACATAATTTTACTGAACACGATCTGTATTTTCAGCTGTGTGAGCGTTATAAGGGCGACACCCAATCCATTTATTCTGCTCAGAGAGTCGGACAAGGCTTTTATGACGGTGGGTGCTGCTAGCCAGTGCGTTATATACACATATATATTTTGATCTAATATCTAAACATAAGAAACTACCAATTCGTTAGATTATTATGGTTGCTTTTGCGAAACTTTTACTTTTACTGTTGTATAATTATAATTAAACAAATACATTACGTGTGTTTAAAAACTGCGAGCACACTGTGATGAAGAAAGACTAGAAATACAAATCTGATAATAAAATATTAACCTTGATTTGTTCAGAATATGGGGGAAAGAAGGGTGTTGGTTGAAATCCACAAACCTGACTCATAACACTTGCCTATGTAATCATCTGACGAACTTCGCTCTATTGATGGAAGTAATGTTATCACCTAAAGTAAACGGTTCCGTGTCATCACCCAAGGTAAACGGTTCAATGCCTTTATTATTTCACCTATTTGGTATGTTACTGATTAGAAAGTTTCAATTTAGTTCTAGTGATTAAATAATTATACATCTCATTTTTTCTCTCTCTAAATCTCGTAAGATTGAAACCTTCAATCCTGTTTGTTCGCTCCTGAGGCCCGGCATGGCCAGGTGGTCAGGGCACTTGATTCGCAATCTGAGGGTCGCAGATTCAAATCTCCGTCCCATCAAACATGCTCGCCCATTCAGCCATTGAGGCGTTATAATATGATGGTCAATCCCACTATTCGTTGGCAAAAGAGTAGCAAAGAGTTGGCGGTGGGTGATGATGACTAGCTGCTTTCCCTCTAGTCTTTCACTGCTAAATTAGGGACGGCTAGCGCAAATAGCTCTCGTGTAACTTTGCACGAAATTTAAACCAAACTGTTTGCCCCTCTTTCAGTTTCTCTGGAACTTTTATGGCATTCTCTTAGTTTTAATCACGAAGAAACACATATTTTATGAACCAGTAGAATAAATTATTCCTTAATTGTATTTGCCGCATTCTTTAATCCAGACTTTTAACCGATCTGTGCTTTGAACCTTGACTGTATTTTTCATTTAATTTATATTACCGCGAATAAGATCTAAGAATAATCAAGAATGTTATTAATTGCTAGCATCGATTTTTTTAATCTGTAACCCAGGTATTTGAAATTCTGTAAGGAAATTGAGAAGAGTTTTAGAACAATGTTTGGAACTTTTTTCTCTGTCTTTATATCATGTTCGCAGGAATATTGGAATTGATAGTTACGGTGTAGTAATTGGTATCTTGCTCGTAAACTTGGAATCAAAATGTTAAAATGTATTTAAAATGGAATGCTTCAGGATGAAAAACCTCATCAAAATGAGTTTTATCCATATGTTGGGAGTAACTGCATATAAATTTGGAATCGTAAATCATATTGTGATTTTTTGAGTTAAAATCTCATAAGAATTCAAACATGTTTCATTATTATGTGTAATTTACTTTAATATGGTCAATAAATTGAGCAAAAAAAATAAAAAAGTCACATACTGAAATGTTTAAACAGACAGATGAAACGGATGTCCTTCCAAAACTTTCCATCTGGTGTGGATGTGTTGTATCAATCGGATGCTTAGCCGTAACGTTAATTATCTTATTCCTAATCAGGTGAGAACAATATACGCGTGTAAACACAATGTAAGTAGATTAACGTAAGTAATAAGCTAAACACTGCTATTATATATATATCAGGATTTATAATACTTATTTATCTATCAAAAAATGTAACAAGGCTAAAGAATATCTGGTTAAACTGCTTATGTTGACAAGCAAAATATTTTACCAGGGAACTACTTTTTTACACTACATTTCAGTTTGATGTCATTACTATGCTAAGCCTCTTTCAGCTTATCTAGTGTACTGAAAATACGATATTTTACCCTATTCTCGATAAAGAAAATAATTCATGTAATGCCGCGAGTATTTGTATTTAATTATTCTACTTTAAATTTCTATTCCAGAGATTTTAAAAAGAATTTATTCACCAGCCGCAAACACATCTACGTATTTCTACTATTGGCCGAGGTAATTATCTTAGTCCAGAACGAGGCAGATGACAATGACAAAGTTATTTGTTTTATTGTAGCTGGACTTCTGCACTACTTTGTGCTACAAGTGTTCGTATGGACACTAGCGGATGCTGTCCATTTATTACTTCTTGTCTGTGATAACAACCTGTCATGGCTGGGCTGGTATTGTGGAGCTAGTTACGTGGTTCCTATCCTTATTATTGAAGTGGCTACGGGTATCAATCCTTCCGGTTATCTGAGTGGGAAATGCTGTTGGCTAGCGGAGAGATATGTGATATATATACTGTTGTTGTCCCTTCATCTGTCTGCGCCTTGGTAAGTAGTTTCATAGTTCTATAGCATATGAAATAATACGAGAAACCATCGTGTATACCGCACAGAGAGTGAAAACTAATACCGTGTGCTGTTGTTGTTACTTATTACTGAAAGTATAGAGCGCATAACTTGGGGTTCCAGTCTGAAATGTGCATTATCTACGCTTCTTTATGAAGATTGCTGGGGTGAGTTGTTGACTACACTAATTTTCTAAGTATGTTTTCTATTTTCAGTTACCTTTTCATTACACTAAGTCATTGTTTCTAATTATGTTTGTGTAATAGTAGCAGTGAAAGTACGTATGAACCTTTCAAGATGGAGAATCAAAGTGAACCTGCTACCAATTTGTTGCTTGAAACATCTGTAAGCTTTATGTTTTGCTTTTTTTAGCGCAAAGCTACATAATGGACTATCTCCGCTATGTCCACCGCGGGGAATCAAACCCTAGATTTTTGCGTTGTAAGTTTGTAAACTTACCGCTGACCCACCGAAGGTGCATCTCTCAACTATTGTGATATGTAACCACGTTGCTCTCATTCTTCGTCAGTTTTTGGCGTTTGATCCTGTGATGCTTGTAATTACAAACATATGGATTTTGATTGATGTTTCGCGTTTTTCATGTTAAGTGTTAGCACCATGCACAGTTGTTTTCTTTATTAAGGTATGCTGTTGTTATGTGCAGTTAATGTTGTCATTTTTTTATTTACTTCGTGACACTTTGTTGTTTGTTACTTCACCGTTGTTACTTTTTGATTTTCTTTTTTCGTTACGATCAAATATATTTGTTTCCCTTTGTTATTTGTTACAATATTTCACTTTTGTTGCTACTTGATTTTCTTTTTCTTTGTTACGATACAGTAGTATATTTGTTTCCCTTTGTTACTTGTTGTTACTGTGATTATATTTTGATTTTATTTTTGTTACGATACAGTATTGTATTTGTTTCCCTTTATAACTAGTCGGCATCATCAGCTTATTTCTATTGCTTATGATTTAGAATATTTATATCGTATTATCTTTTCTTTGCTTTTGACAAAGTTAGTTTTATGCAATGGCTTATTATGTACTGTCTTTTTGACACTATGGGCAGTAAAAATAAACTAAAAATAACAACAAAATACATTGTGGTTCTCTTTAATACCTCATATCCATAATTAGGAATAATCTTGAGTACTGAAAAAAAGAACAAAGTGTGTGTAATGTTACAATTTAATGAGAGCACCGCTGTTGGTTTTCCTTTAATAAGACTTCATTTCTTCAGCTGCTGTTTTACCTGTTTCAGAACGAGTTGTTATCCTGAAAGAAAACAAACATTAGTAACTGATATCCGATGCTTCAGTACATAACATTGTTAGATGTAGCATGATAATATGAATAAAACGATTTATTGTTAATACAATTTTTCCTTATTATACTATACCATTTTATAGGTATAGAATCGAAAACAAAAGGTGGAGTTGGTAATGAGAAGGGATAAAAGCGATCAATATTTTCAGAAGTGCGCTCCCTTGGAAATATTTTTTAATTTGTATAGAAGTCTGGACTTATTTTGATTCTGTAGATATGGTGGAAATTAGAGAGAGAGAGATAAAAACAAGTAAAATAACGTGCAGGTAAACAGTTTAATGACCAACCTACACGACCTTAATTAATCTCTTCATCCTATCTTTTCGACCTTTTATCTGCAGCTTCCAAATTCATTTTCTAATCTTTATCTGTTTATAATGATGAATCATTATATTGGACCAAAAATTCAGTTCAGGCTAGGGAAACACTAAATCTATTGAAATTTAGTGGGAGACCGTGGTGGGTGCTGGCACTCCTTGTATTGGATGTGGGAGCATTACCCCACATTCCGACACCATTGTAACTCAAGTTAAAAGATCAGTATAATAAAAAAATTGTGTTTTTAGTATCATTTTTACCTCTAATATTACGGACGATAATGTTGTTTTACATTATTTGTATAAGAGATTATTGAAATATCTCTAAAACACGAAAACTAGAAATTTTTAATGTACATTTGATGTTTATAATATCACATTTACTTGTTGAATAGGCAAGTTACTTCTTGTATAATGTATCTTAATGTAATACATTTTAAATACGATTATTGTTGGCGAAATAACGTAGTAAGTTATTAACTAAATACCAGAGTAGTAATAGAGAAGATAGCGGATAATCGGACAAGCATGTACGAGTTGTAATTCTGGTCTGTATAAGTTGTTCTGAGCATTTGTTCATCAAAACAGACATACACATCTGTTTTGTATAAAATGGTGTGTTTTTGGTATAATGTTTTTCGAAACAAATCAACGATTTATTCAGACAGTTTCTCTGTACTTGGTGTAGGGTCATGCTTTGTTACGTGCCAAAAGTTATAGGGCGTCAAATTGTTCGACTGTCCAGAACTGGTATGAAGTAAACAACATTGCCAGAATAGTAGGGTACCCCATTGTAATATATACAGAATCCTGAAATGTCATCGGACCACAGGAAACATTGTTTAAGACGACCGTGTTTTGATCAGATTAACACTTCAAGGACGAAAGAAATCTTGCAACACCTTACAACGGGAATAGCATGAACACATTCACTCCAGGGTATCCATAACAGTGAATAGGAGACTGATAAATAAAGTTATTTTGCAAGAATGGCTATCTGCAAACCGATATTAACGAGAATTCACCGCCGTCATTGTGTTACTTGGGCAATACAGCATGCCAACTTACAGTTAGAACACTGGCGACATGTCATCTTTTCAGATGAATCTAAGTTCCGGCCTCTTAAAGCTGATTTTGTGATTTCTGTTCGTTATTTACCTGGAGAACAAATGAGGGAAGACTGTCTTTCTCACTGGGAACATACAGGAGGTGGCGCAGTACATGTTTCGGCAGCTATGCATCGTAGTAGAAAACTGTTCTTCATATCCTCCAGGGAAACGTCAAAGGCACCTCCTACAGGCATCACGTGGAGACGATATTTGTGCCATATTCTAGGACAAGGTTTGGCAATACCTTCACGTTGGAGGATGACAATGCCACTACCCACAGTGCACGTATTGTACATGATTAGCTCAACCAAGAGAACGTTACAAGATTTCTATGGCCAGTAAAGTCTCCAGATTGTAATGCTATTGAGAACTGTTGGGTAAAACTGATCTGAAACACTGCTAACTACGACCCTAAACCAGTTGCTGTAACTGAGTAGCAGCGCCTTCTAGTGACAAGTTGTGATTAAATCATCCCTCAATAACCTCTTCGACAGCATGCCTCCTATCCTTGCAGAGATTATTAAAGTACGAAGAGGATCAAACGAGTACTGAATGTTTAATATGAACTGACATAAGGTTACAGACGCTATTTATAAAAATTCGATGTTATATTTTGTTGTTATATATGTTTTGGTAAGGTTTGGTTGTGATATGTGAAATGCTGAATTACACATCTTTCTACAGGTGTCTGATAAAATTGTTTGCAGTTCTAATGAATTGTTCGTGATGTCCAAAGAACCTGTATCATTATGTAAATTACATATGTAGATGTTTAATATAACATGAATTTCTCACTTTGACATCACTGAGTGTAGTTGTATTCCATCTTAATAATAATGATTGTATTTATTACATAATGCTCAAACATTTTAGCCAAGTGAGAGAAACATGGTTTAAAATATCCAATTATTAGGAGAAACGGTAAGCTAAAATACAACATTACATACATATGTGTAAACAAAATTGAAGTGTGTAAAATTTAAATTGTACTATTGAAAGTTTCAACTCCGTATGAACACGTACAGAACGGTTCAGTGAGACATATTAATGGAAGGTAGAAACTGTTAGCTCTTAAATACTAAAAATGTAGAGAAACTGTCCTTATTCTCTTAGGAATTTCATTGATATTTATTTTCTAAGGAGTTTGTTTTTTTAGTGCAAAGCTGCACGATTGGCTATCCGCACTGTGCCCACCTCCGGAGTTTGAATCCCGAGTTTTAGCATTATAACTCCTCAAGCATCCTACTGAGTGATCGGGGGACAATAAATAAATAAATGGAACTTAGGTCTAGTATCATGACCAGAGTTTGAACCAGTTATCGGTATCAAGGCACTCTCACGGACGTTCAACCGTATAAGTTGATATTAGTCGTAAGTCGTTTTAAAGAAAATATATCATGTCACATAAATATTGTATATGATATAATTAGCACATTATGCTGTATATGCTACGGTAGGTATTTTGTCATGACTAGATCTTCAGCTTTTCTTCCCTCGAGTTGACTCTCGGCAGAACCAGTCGCAATGAAAACCAAGTAGAAAAGACTTCGATAACTAGGTTTCACGCTCGCACGAAACCATCGGTTTCTGTGTCTTTTGATTGCGTCAATAAGCGACCTATCACTATCTCTTAACGTTCTCAGTCTTAAACATACCAATGTCTTTCGTCTCCTCAACTAACGAAAGGACGCCTTTAGATGTTCACAAGCAGGGGAAATAAAATTTGTTGCGAATAATAAAGAGAACGATAAGGGGTAAAAGCCATGCTCGAACGGAAGCATTCCATTGGTTCTTTGGGCCAGTGTTTTCATGCCAAAACTGTATGGAAACAAACTACATGAAAGTTTCTGTATCATTAAAGTACATGATATACTTGGATATCACACTAAGACATGGGAACTACTTTCTTAAATCAAATATGAAAGTAAAAGTGATTTAGTAGTCATACATGTCGAAGGTTCGTGCTCAGTGATTTATAAATATCCGTTCACTGTCGGCGAGTGCGCTAGCATTCTCTATGTAGGGATGGCACAGACGCCCAAATTATAGCAATAAAAAATGATTCTAGATTTGCTTCTCTACAGGTCATCGGTAGCTAAATATGAAGAGCTACCTGGCGTAGTCGT